CATGGAGCAGAAGACATTTTGGCCAAAATTTATGATGAAATTAGATTTTTTAAACTTTTTACTGGACATGTTTAATAGCAAAAAGTAAAAAATATTGCTTCTTTCTCAAAATTGTTGGTCTTTTTTTTTTATAGCGCAAAAATACCGATCAAATACCACCGAAAGAAAGCTCTATTTGTGGGAAAAAAAGTACGTAAATTTCATTTGGGTGCAGCGTTACATGACCGCACAATTGTCAGTTAAATTAATACAGCTCCATAACTAAAAAAAATGGCCTGGTCAGGAAGGAGGTAAATCCTCAGGAGGGCAAGTGATTAAAGGGTAACTCCACTTTTGTAGAAAAAAATATATCAAATAAAAAAATAATAGAGAGTTTACAATTGCTACACAAGTCGCGTTGTAATTTAATGTGATTACACTGACCTTTCCTGTTCAATCTGCAGCACTGTAGCCTTTTGTAATATCCAATGTGATATGGCAATCTGGAAGTTGGTCTACAGAATCCCTCAAAAATTTCATTTTCTACTTGTGTGATTGGCTCACTCATTTTCCTAGAAGTCTGCATTAAGATAAAAGTCAGATTTTAGGCATCCCCTGCAATAAAAAATTAAAGTTTTGGTAAGACGCCCTAAAAATTGAAGATTATGTAAACCAACATTTCCTGTTCCTGTTGTGTGCCTGCTGTACCATGTACTTGTATGAAAAAGTATCCTGTTCTCTTTGTATTGCTTCCTTTGTGTGAAATCCCTGGTATCCCTGCCAGTCCCTCTTCTTTCCTATCAAAAACTGACCATTCTAGGCAGGGGAGCACAGCGTGGTCAGTTTTCTGGCTGTTCTGGAAACTCAGCTTGCTCTCCTCCAATGATCAGAATTGTTCTGACTCATCTTTGACAGCACAGCCATTCACTGAGAAGTTTAATGTGCTACTATTTCTCCTCCTCCAGCTCTCTGAGCTCCCTATACAGCTGAGAACAGAGGATATGTGATCGCTTATAAAAAAGAGAAAAACTGTATATATACAGTATATACTGTATATATATATATATATATATATATCAGGGGCGAACTGACAACTCATGGGGCCCCCGGGCAATAGGGGGTCATGGGGCCCCTGTGTCCTTGCCCAAACTCAAAAAAGCCTATGAAAAAGGCACCAGGGGCATCTCATGGGGCCCCCTACTGACCCCGGGCCCTCGGGCAGTGCCCGAGTTTCCAAATGGTCAGTCCGCCCCTGATATCCTGATATATATATATATATATATATGCAGGCGTACCTCGGATTACGAACGCCTCGGTTCACGTAATGTTCGGTTTACAAATGAAAATCCATTGAAAATAATGCCTCGGTTTATGAATTTTTTTGCAATACAAAGTAAGTCTCCCCAGGATGCATTGCGCCTGGGAGGTTTATAGCGCCAGCCCCGTGCCTTTAAAGTGCACTTTATAAAGAGTTTTGAACAGATTTTTTTTACTTTTTTCTGACCTCCAGAACGGATTAATTAGGTTTCAATGCATTTACAAATTAAATATTAATCATGTCCCTGTACAGTATTTATGCCTTTAAAGTGCACTTTATAAGAGTTTTGAACAGATAAAAGACTTTTTTTTAAACTTTTTTATGACCTCCGGAACGGATTAATTGGTTTTCAATGCATTCCTATGGAAAACCGCGTTTCAGTTTACAAATTTTTCGCAATACAAAATGTCCCGGAGAACGCATTAAATTTGTAATCCGAGGTATGTCTGTATATATATATATATATGTGTTTTGCCCTTCATTTCTATTTTAAACTGAATGTGTTGTTTTACAAGGTAAGGGTTCACATATATTTTAATCTCTTCTAAAGGGTTGCAGACACTGCCGCTTTCCTCATTAGAACACAAATCAGGATCAGCTGATTATAATGAACCAGGCCCTCTCATTCAGAATCAGTATGAACTCATCCTGGTGAAACAAAAAGCTGTTCCTTCAGAACAACAAAAGGTAGGAATCTGCTACAAAATGTGCTAAAATCCATGCAATGCACATAGATCACCAAGAGGTCTTTTTCTCAACAAAAGTGGAGTTACCCTTTAAGTAACAACATTCATTTTGAATTGATGATTGAATTAGAAATAAGCTCCATGAGCAGGGCCCTCCTGTTCCTTGAAATGTATTGTAATTGCACTGTCTCCCTTTATATTGTAAAGCTCTGCGCAAACTGTTGGCGCTATATAAATCCTGTATAATAATAATAATAATAGAAGTAATACAAATATTTAAATACATGAAAGCACAGCCCAAATCAGTAGATATCAGAAGAGTGGATATTATTACCTGCTACATTAGTGCACTACTTGTCAGGTCAATGATAAAAAAAAAGATCACAGCACATAATTAGAATTGGTAAAATTATTAATAATAAATGTCAATGGCTGCATAACATTAGAAATATTTCTTCTCTGTATTAAACAGCATTGTATTATGTGCTTCAAAATAATCGTAAAATGATTTGCTAACAGAACTCATCTTGCAGAAAGCTGCAATTGGATCGGAGTGTGGATGATGCTTGTGAACTAATGAACACAGCTGACCCATTTATTCTTTATAAATAATTTTCGTAGCTATTCACCCATCAAAACCCAAAAACGAATGCTCTCAGGCTATATTATTTGCAGTTTGAATGTGTAAATGGGTGAAAACACCAATAGATGGCGTTGAGGATCATTCTTATTTCCTATGCTAGTCAGTGCCATCTAAAACTGATTTGTATGCAGTTAGGATGGATGAACTGGTATGCATTTTTTACAAACACACCCCTAACTGTGGATGCATGGCAACACCAAAAAAAAAAGATATGTAGCCAGTAAGGCAATCCTCTGTACGAGATGAATGCCTTAAAACAATGAAAATCAATTCACACAAAAGCTGTATCTTCTGTATCGGCTGAACCATAATATGGCAAGGTTGTGTGATTCAAGTGTTCCTATACCCCGGACCCTGCATTCACTATATCCGGTCTCCCCAGACCCTGCATTCACTATATCCGGTCTCCCCAGACCCTGCATTCACTATATCTGGTCTCCCCGGACCCGGCATTCACTATATCTGGTCTCCCCGGACCCTGCCTTCACTATATCTGGTCTCCCCAGACCCTGCATTCACTATATCTGGTCTCCCCGGACCCTGCATTCACTATATCTGGTCTCCCCGGACCCTGCATTCACTATATCTGGTCTCCCCGGAAACTGCATACACTATTTCTGGTCTCCCCGGACCCTGCATTCACTATATATCTGGTCTCCCCGGACCCCTGCATTCACCATATCTGGTCTCCCCGGACCCTGCATTCACTATATCTGGTCTCCCCAGACCCTGCATTCACTATGTTTGGTCCCCCGGACCCTGCATTCACTATATCCGCTATCCCCGGACCCTGAATTCACTATATCTGGTCTCCCAGGACCCTGCATTCACTATATCTGGTCTCCCCAGACTCTGAATTCACTATATCTGGTCTCCCAGGACCCTGCATTCACTATATCTGGTCTCCCCAGACTCTGAATTCACTATATCCGCTATCCCCGGACCCTGCATTCACTATATCTGGTCTCCCAGGACCCTGCATTCACTATATCTGGTCTCCCCAGACCCTGCATTCACTATATCTGTCTCTCCCATACCCTGCATTCACTATATCTGGTCTCCCAGGACCCTGCATTCATTATATTGGTCTCCCAGGACCCTGCATTCACTATATCTGGTCTCCCCAGACCCTGCATTCACTATATCTGGTCTCCCAGGACCCTGCATTCACTATATCTGGTCTCCCCAGACCCTGCATTCACTATATCTGGTCTACCAGGACCCTGCATTCACTATATCTGGTCTCCCCAGACCCTGCATTCACTATATCTGGTCTCCCCGGACCCTGCATTCACTATATCTGGTCTCCCCTGACCCTGCATTCACTATATCTGGTCTCCCTGGACCCTGCATTCACTATGTCTGGTCTCCCCGGACCCTGCATTCACTATATCTGGTCTCCCCGGACCCTGCATTCACTATATCTGGTCTTCCGGACCCTGCATTTGGTATATCTGGTCTCCCAGGACCCTGCATTCACTTTATCTGGTTTCCCAGGACCCTGCATTCACTATATCTGGTCCCCCCGGGCCCTGCATTCACTATATCTGATCTCCCCGGACCCTACATTCACTATATCTGGTCTCCCTGGACCCTGCATTCACTATATCTGGTCTCCCAGGTTCCTGCATTCACTATATCTGGTCTCCCACAGTACACAGAACATAGAAATGCAATTATTTTAGTAAATATAAACTGCTAAATACCTTTTCTCATCAGTAGTTAGAGCAGTCTTGTGACTTCTATCAGTGTCCAGAAGAGCACTTATTGAAGCTTGTAGGAGGAGTTTTCATTCTTCCCTGATTGTCCTATGAGGCTGCATGACCCCCTGTCCGGACACTGCTGATTGGCCCTGTGCTGATCACATGCACTCTCCCAAGCAAAAAAAAAAACTCTCTAGCAATACATACCAAACTGAGCATGTGCAACTTGCCCCCAAGGCTCTGTTCTATCATCTAATGGATCGAGGACAGTAGACGAAGGGGAAGATCAGAGAAGACAGGATAAAACAGCTTTTTTTATACAATGTGGGGGATTAACCCCTTAGGTTCCACAGTGAGTATAACAAGCATGCTTTACTGCCTATACAGACTGATTTTACTGTTGTGGGTTTAGTGACACTTTCATACGAAGCGTTACTGAACTGGATAGCTGCTGTTCAACTTTAAAGCATAACCAAATCACCCAAAAAAATGTACAATATTGCAGCCTCTAGTCCTAGGATAAGGTCCCGACATTAGGTTTTCATTTTCTGACTTATTGCCTGTATTATAGAGAATTTCTCACTTCCTGTCCTGGGTGGCTACGTTCACTCTTCCACTGTGTCTATGGAGGAAGCCGTGGCTGGTCCCCAGGCTGGAATATACACATGACCAGGGGCGGACTGACCATTTGGAAACTCGGGCACTGCCCGAGGGCCCGGGGTCAGTAGGAAGCCCCATGAGATGCCCCTGGTATCTTTTTCATAGGCTTTTTTGAGTTTGGGCAAGGACACAGGGGCCCCATGATCCCCTATTGCCCGGGGGCCCCATGAGTTGTAAGCCCGCCTCTGCACATGACCACATTTGCTCATCTCCATTACATGGGGGTTGTGGAGACTAGTAGTTTAAGATGTTTTATACTTTCAGTTTATCTCACAAGAAGTGACAAAGATGCTTCATTTCTCCCAGGATCAACTTGTATAAAATGTTCTTAGCCCGAAAATAGAAAGCAAATGCAGCTACCAAATATATTACACTTTTGTTCCTAGGTTTAGTTATCCTGTTTTTACCCAGGGCCATGATGGGAGAGGGGCAGAAGGGCAGTTGCCTCAAGCAAAGGACCCTTACTTGGGGGAAGGGGCATTGTGCAGCGAGCACTGCAGATTGCTGGTAGGCAACAAGTGGATTGCAGCCTCTTCCACCAGGTCACGTCTTTCTTTTTGCTCTGGCAGCTATTGCTATCACACCATCCATACTCTACCCCAATTGCCCACAGTTAACCCAAAATTGCACCACCCATGTGCAACTACCCCCAGCTGCTAGAAAGTAAATGGACAGTCACACTTAGGCAGTGTACCTTCCATGACAACTATAGACAGTCAACGCATGGAGGCAAGAGAACAGGCACGCCAGAGAACGTAAGGCAGTAAGCCCATCAACGTCATATGTTAGCAACAAAGGGGGTGGGCTCAGTTCTATATCTTTGCCCTGGGTGCAATACAGATAGGCTCAGAGAAAAAAAAAGTGTAGCACCCTCCTAGTTAGGCTGCTAGATAAATTTAGTTTATGGCTTCTACTGTAATCAGGGGAGCAGTGATTGCGTATTTGGTCTGATCTGTTCAGAGCTCCACAGGCTGGAGGTTTGATTGCTTCCTTTTGCCTCTAGAAGAAGTTTCTGGATCTTATGGAGGGGGAATTCAAAAGACAAGCCTGAATATTGAGCAGGGCCTAGCCATTTCCTGGGGAGGTGTGCCCAGGTGGTTGTTGTGATGCTCTTAAATAGTCTGAAGCCCTGGAGAGATGGTCTTTTTCCCTTTTTCCCCCTGAGGGAATGGACTTGTGAGCTGAAAGGGGGGGGGGGGTGCCCCTGGAGTGCTTTGGACTGGATGCTGAACTACTCCACAATAGGCTGCAGCTATGGACTGATCCTGTTCCAGGATACTGTGAGTAAAGCCTCATTTTGGTCTTGTACCTGCTTCATGGTCCTCAGCAGTAAGAATATAGACTGTTCCAGGCTAACTTTACGTGGGATACTTCAGGGTCCTCAGCTGTGAAGATAAAGAATGTTCCAGTCTACATTTGCCTATGCTAAAACCTCCATCATGGTCCCCAGCCGTGAGGATAAAGACTGTTACAGTCTATCTTTACCTGTGCTAAAAACTACTTCATGGTAGTCAGCCGTGAACATATATACTGTTCTTGTCTAATTTTACTTGTGCTAAAACCTACTTTGTGGTTCCCAGCTGCGAGGATATAGACTGTTCCAGTCTACCTTTACCTGTGCTAAAACCTACTTCATTGTTCCCAGCTGCAAGAATATAGACTGTTCCAGTCTACTTTTACCTGTGCTAAAATCTTCTTCATGGTCCTCAGCTGTGAGGATATAAACTGTTCCAGTCTACCTTTACCTGTTCTAAAACCTACTTCATGGTTCCCAGCCATGAGGTTATTGACTGTTCCATTCTACCTTCACCTGTACTAAAACCTACATCATGGTCCCCAGCCATGTGGATATAGACTGTTCCAGTCTACCTTTACCTGTGCTAAAACCTACATCATGGTCCCCAGTCATGAGAATATTGACTGTTCCAGTCTACTTTTACCTGTGCTAAAATCTTCTTCATGGTCCTCAGCTGTGAGGATATAAACTGTTCCAGTCTACCTTTACCTGTTCTAAAACCTACTACTTCATGGTTCCCAGCCATGAGGATATTGACTGTTCCAGTCTACCTTCACCTGTACTAAAACCTACATCATGGTCCCCAGCCATGAGGATATGGACTGTTCCATTCTACCTTCACCTGTACTAAACCTACATCATGGTCCTCAGCCATGAGGATATTGACTGTTCCATTCTACCTTCACCTATGCTAAAACCTACATTATGGTCCCCTGCCATGAGGATATAGACTGTTCCAGTCTACCTTCACCTGTGCTAAAACCTAGATCATGGTCCCCAGCCATGAGGATATTGACTGTTCCAGTCTACCTTCACCTGTACTAAAACCTACATCATGGTCCCCAGCCATGAGGATATGGACTGTTCCATTCTACCTTCACCTGTACTAAAACCTACATCATGGTCCTCAGCCATGAGGATATTGACTGTTCCATTCTACCTTCACCTATGCTAAAAACCTACATCATGGTCCCCAGCCATGAGGATATGGACTGTTCCATTCTACCTTCACCTGTACTAAAACCTACATCATGGTCCTCAGCCATGAGGATATTGACTGTTCCAGTCTACCTTCACCTGTGCTAAAACCTACTTCATGGGCCCCAGCCATGAGGATATTGACTGTTCCATTCTACCTTCACCTGTGCTAAAACCTAGATCATGGTCCCCAGCCATGAGGATATAGACTGTTCCAGTCTACCTTTACCTGTTCTAAAACCTACTTCATGGTTCCCAGCCATGAGGATATTGACTGTTCCAGTCTACCTTTACCTGTTCTAAAACTTACTTCATGGTTCCCAGCCATGAGGATATTGACTGTTCCAGCCTACCTACCAGTTGTGTTGCTTGTGCTGAATCAAATCCTACTGACGTTGTAACTACCCAAATCTGCTAATTGTATACCTAATGTTTTGGAGTATCTCATACCACATTGTCCTCCCCTGTTTCAAGTTCAATCAGCAAATATACTTCAAAAAGACAACACCTAGACTTTTTAATGAGCCAGAGTGAATGGACTGTTGCTATGTGCCTGGTTCAAAAACGCACCTGACTTTTTAATGAGCCAGAAAGAATGGACTGTTGCTATGTTGCTGGCTCTGCCTCTGCACTGTTTTGGGAATGAACCTGTTAATCCACTGCGGTTGTTAGGGGGTAGTGCTAAAAATGAAAAAAAAAAAACAGTGACGGGCATACATGACAAAGAGAGACAGGGAACCAAAGACTTTAAGGTTTTGAATCATACAATACTTATCTTACTGGTTAGGGTAAAAGACCAAGGAGGACGTCAGCGATGGTCTGAGGGGAAAGAATGTAGAAGGCTTAGCTGGGGTTCAATGGACATAAAGTGAACTTCCTATCCAGCCACCGAGGTTCTTCTTTGGATCACATTCCTAGAAGTCACAGCAATCAGTCTGGTTGGTGTCTCTGCTCCTTAAGCTGCACAGGCAGCGGACCAGGGAGTTGTTGTGCCCATAGCAAAAATGATTGCTTCTTTGCATTTGGCTGGCAGTACTGTGCCAAAACTACCTATTAAAGTGAATGCAGAAACGAGCGTTGGTGTGACTTTTTAATGGTTAAAACATTGAAGAAAGTGTGAGAAACCATCATTTTATATGGTTAAAACAGTCGTGAGAAACCATACATTTTATAAAAATCAATAGTCAATAGCAAACATTTCCCATACCACATACAAGAGCAATGTGGTCACCCAAAGGTAACTTTTACATTTTACATATCACAGAAAAATACTACTATTATTACTACTACTACTAAAAAAATAATAATAATAATATTATTATTATTATTCATTTATTAACAATAATAATAATAATAATAATAATATAATAATAAAATACATCCTACTACTTCTAATAGTAACAATAATAATAATAATTATTATTATTATCATTATTTATACAAAAACAAAAAGATATAACATCTCACATCCCACTCCAGACTCTATACATGATTTCATGGAAACTCAACCTTTAAGATCCAAGAATACTGTCATACCTACAATTTATATTTTACATTTGCTTCAATAAAACCTCATTTCAGCGTTTGGAGTTTGAAATAAAGCTGAAGTAGCATGGCTGAATATTAATCTGATCATTATTTTTAATTCTTTCGTTTTTAACAATCATCTTTGAGCCGGTAACTAGCAATGCGACAATAGGCAGATTTAAACTGTTTTGTAAAGCGATGCACATGCACTGCTTTGTAAAATAAAATATGACGTCTATTGTGTTTATTTGCTGAATTAGCTGTCAGGCTCTTGACAGCCGCAATGACCCTATGCTAATCTGTTATACAGCACCAGGAAAAACTTAAGCTCGCTGCTACAGCTGATTCCTGTATACATAATATTACAGCCTGCAGTCATTTAAATGTAAAGAATCAAGGGCTAGAAATCTGAGACGGTGAGACAGTGCTGATGGTAGCAGTTTGTTTGAAATTATAATGCAATTTAGCGGCTTTAAGGACAACTTTGGATAGCAGTGGTCAAACTCAGTTACTAAATATGAATCTCGGGGAACCAGAGACATTTATTTTTGGGTGAAAAAGATTTTGGAAAAAATTAGAAGGCCATTTGATAATTTACATGTTTGCAAAAAAAACTGATCCTTCTTATATAACTGCTATATTTAGCTATCTTGGTAAGCTGTACTCATCCATTGGTAATGCTGCTGGTTTTTTTTTAAACTAAAAGAGACACTATGCTCAAGGTCTAACATGACCTCCTCCACCCTTGCCAGACACAGATTGGCAATGTGACTGATTTACTGAGGGAGTAGAACAGACCTGTTCACAGTGAACCATCTAAATGGCTTTCTGGTCTCAGTGAACCCCTGCTAAATATGACTGTATCTACAACTCATGATACATTAGTGTGATGGTTAGTGGGAAGAGTGCTCCTCACACTTGTGGTCATTGGGAAAAATGTCCCTCTTACAGATAACTAAAAAGATAATTGGTGTCCATGGGAACTTATTTGAGAAGTAAAAATTGGTCATAGCAATCTTTGGATGAACCCTGGTTGAGAAACCCTGGAGTAGAGTACTATCTTAGTGAACCTGTTACCCTTCATATACCCAACTGTATACAGGAGAATATAAAGCAATCATTTCCAAATGTGCCCTTTTTTAACAAATGTCACCATAAAGTTTCTCATTCACTCACTCATTATTTCTC